TCATTAATTTAGAAGTTTTAAAATCAATAACTGGACTGAACAGTTATTAGCAAAAACAAATTGTTACAATTGCTTAGCGATTGCAATATCTTGGTTGTAAAAATCTCAATAGTTTAATTTAAATATTCTTTTTTTGTAAAGATAGCCACGAGTTCAAAAAATCAGCACGTCTACCTGTTTGAATTGAATAAAAATTAATAATGAAAATATTTAATTTGTTATTTACAACTTTATCAAAAAAAAAAATGGAAGTATCAATATTTTAAAAAGTTATATTAAATAGTCTCAGGTTAGATTCGGTCTTTTCATTCCCAGTAATAGATATTTATAACAATAATATTGTTTATTTAATTATGCCATATAAAACGGCATTTATTTGTTATCTTAGTAAATAAACAACTAATTAAACATCAATTAAAATAATTTTTTATTTTAATTTTAAGTAGCAGTAAGAAGCTCTGACTGTTTTTAAATAATTTGTTATTTATTGAATTGAAAGTAAAATCGGTAACTGAGTTTTTCAGAAACAATTATCATTTGTTGGCATGAATATTATTCTAGTTTATCTATCTTAAACACTAACTAACTAAAAACGTTGTAATTTTTAAAGGGTGAACAAACTAGAGAAGATTATCCAATTTTTCAAAATTTGTAATCGAGCTCGTATCGGAATATGTATTATTGATTGCATCATACAGGCGCAGACTTTGTAAAATTACGTGAAACACTCTGTATATACATATAGATTGCATTATTGTAGGTGTAATTTTTATTAATTTTTTCGAGTGCACTGAAAGAGATGCTATTAAATACCTACGAGTCACTCTTCGGACGTTTACAGTTATCTAAATTGGGCTCATATTGTGTTCTTCCTTCTACATGCCATTAATTTATTTCGTGGCATGTAATATCACCACCGTTTTAATTGCACAATGACGGCTTCTTAGAACATCATCAATTTTCGTACTGACGGCTTTAAGGTGTGATTCAATTTTTCGGTACGTAATAAACAACGGTTCGCTACAGGAACATTTAGAACGAACTTTAAAACCGTTCAAATGTGCAATAAATCTAGTCTATTCATCGCCTAATTGCCTGGAGAGGTTTTAAACTAGATTTTATTTAAAAACTCAAGCTTACAATTTTTTTTTAAATACAAAATAATCTGTTTTGTAAACTGTTGTTAAGATTATAATGTAGGTATTTTATTAAAAAAATGCCTACCTAACCAAGAAATGCAAGAAATTAAAAATATGTTGTAGGTATTATTGTTATACGTAAATTTTATGTCAAATACATAATTATTTATGTATCAAGGAAACAAACTACAATTTTAATCCCGAGAATGTAGTTATAATGCCTAAGGCGACCGAAGGCAGGTTTATTCCAAAGATGCATTTAAAGTCTGTTTTTTTTTAAATGGAAATGCCAAACAATCTTAACGTTGGCACCACTAATAATTTTAATAAAGGAAGTTGGCACTTCCGGTCACGTCAACACAAAAAATTGTGTAAGAAAATTTAGAGAAGAAACACCAAAAAAGGAATAAATTCGGTACCGCTAACAGTTTTTAGAAATTTTAAACGAATAGTTCGCAAGCAGAAAGTTGGAAAAAGGGTCTCTTAAAATGTAGGCGCAATTTGTAATGCAGGTTTGCCAAACATTCTCAATTTTTACCAAGAAATTGACAAGAGTACAAACTAAACATGAATGAGAAAGAACCTCGGAAAGAACGCAATTAAATTAGTGACTTGTGTATCGTTTTTGAGGAACGAGTTGAAAAAGTAACAATTTTGAAACTAAAGTTGAAGAAGAATTTATAAAATGCATCAACTTTGAGCTCATTTCAATAAATTACACAAAATTTATTGCCAATCATCATAATACTTGTATCTTTGCTAAATAACTTTTTTTCCGTTTATACAGCCTTGTTCTTTGTAGCAAGAACTTTATTTCTGTCGACAACATTGTGTTTCTATCAAAACTATTAGCACTGAATTCTGTCTTTAGACCTTAGGTAATGATGTCTGTCTTAAAATATTCAATTATAGCGCTTTCAAAGAGCAAACCGGCACACAAGATTCATAAAAGTCAAAATTTTGAAAACATCTCAATTTGAAAACATAACCATAACTTTTTAACAAAATTTTCACGGACAAAAACAAAGAGCAAACAAAATTTATGGCTATGGAGACAAGCTGTTACCAGTTTTTTCACCAAAATTTTGACTTGGTAATTTCCATTTAAAGAAAAAACAGACTTTACATAAAACTTTTTTCCCAACTGATTAAATTAACAATAACATAAGAAAATGATAAATTTGTCAAATAATGTCAAATAGTTTGTTCATTCAATTGCAATTTTAAAATTAAAATCGATATTAAGGAGTTTGTTTATGTCAAAAAACACCCAAAAGATTCAATTTATTCAATTCCAGTTTTAAGAGTAAAAATCGGTATTTCATTTATTTTATTCTCAAGAGAATAGAGTATTAGATTATTAGTCAAAAACAAGGTAACATAAAGTGTCACTTTATTGTCTATTGGGAGAAAAAACCATAATTTTACCACAAAAGTTTCAAGCATTTTGTAATGTTTCTTCAAAACGATTTTCCCAATTTAGTTACTGGTTCACAAATGTGTGACCATCAAGAGCAAGGAATGAAAATTGTACCTATTAATACGAGTTTTTTTATTTATTTAAACTTTTAAATTTTTAGCTAATTTGATTGATTTACAAAAAAATAATTTCAAAATTTTAAGACCATTAGGAATGCAAAAAATTTCTTTTCGTTTTCATAATTTGAATACATTCTAAGTATGTTTTTTACTATTTTACATTTTATTTTATCTCACTTTCAAATTTTTTTATTTCAATAGTAGATTACATACCGAGGTGAGAAATGTTTCATGACCAAGGCGAAATCTAGTGAAGCGCTGCGATTAGCAATAAGCTGAAATAAAGTACTTCTATAAATATTTGAAAATTGAGGATACATTTAGGGATACATTTAGATCAATTTAGGATACAGCTTCCTTGTTTCCTCTTCTAATAGCCTGTGGCAAAAAAACTTGGAAAATTATTTTTTCAACACAAATAAAGTGCAAAATTTAAACTCTCATAACTTCGAAATTTTTATACCTAGATAAAATTTGTTTAACATTTTTTCCATGTTTCTAGTATCTTACCTTATATGCCATTTCTCTCTGCGAGTTCTGGCGCACCCTGTATACAAGACATAGAATAGTTTCATTGCTTTTGCAGCAGGGCGTAATAGTACTCTTTTACAATAAATCCCTTCATCACATCATCACATTGTATTCAGAAGAGAATTGTTTAGGATATTTTTATGAGGATTAAGCTTGGTAGCAGGCCATTTCGGGTTTATCAGAAGGTGATGAGTTGATGATACTTATAAAATGATTAACTGTGTTTTCAAATATTTCTAGAACTACTTACTTTACGATGAAGTAACGACCACTAAGGTATCTATACTACTTTATTCACAATTATCTTTCTTAAAGAACAGAAAATCAATAAAGAATTTGTCAAATTTTAAAAAACATGACATAATATGACAGTTCAGGTTGGAAAGTGGTCATTTCCCAAATTCCCAACCCGAATTGTCATGAAATTTCAAATGATAATGATTTCAAAAGAAATGTCATACTTACTCATAATTTTTTACACCATTTTTCTCCTTGTAAATTTAATATTGTATTATACAATATACTCGAATGTGTACCTAATAAGGGCCGAAGTTCGAAGAATATACAGGGTGATAAAAAAAGGCGCCCACGATTGAAACAGGCGCGTCCTTTTTTATTGAAACATTGTGACCATCATTCCAAAAATAGTCTAAATAGATATTTTTTTAAATTTAAACAGTTTGTCTAACAACACAAAGCGGCAATATTGCACAATTTTCTTTTACTAAAAAACTATTGCACTCAGGTAAAACTGTAAAGTTTACATAATTTTATTATTCCAATACGATACGACCGAAAGGTATCTAATGATTTTAATTAATTTTTTTAATCTTTGACTTTTTGACTTTAATCGTTCAAATTTCACAGAAGTAACAACATTGAAAATTGTTTTTTTCGTTGCTACCGTTTCCAATAATTGAATATTACTTGGACATTTTCTGTTCCTAGGATATTTGCAATGTTGCAACATTGATAAATTTTCTTTGGGGCCAAGAAATGGTATCCTAACATCTTCAATAAAGTTTATTTCGATAAACTTTTTACACATTTTTTTAAGAACACCGTCAACTGTATCAAAATCTAGACTTTAACAATGAAATTATTTTAAAACTGTTAATTATACAGGGTTATTCATAAATATGAAGCAATATTTGAACCTCAAAAATGACCTATAAAATGATGTTAATTTAAATAATAACTCGTGTCCTATTTCTACTGATAAGAATTTTACAGCCCTCGGAATGTGGGTATGGAAATTTGATTTTTTTGTAATAACTTTGGAACTATTTGACCAAATATTATAAAATTTGGAACATTTCCCTGTGACAACATACCCTTTAAACTGGTAATCACGAAAACCGGATCCATCCACTCAATTTCCGGTTCCAGCAGTTGCAGGTCACATTTTCTGTGTTTTTCCATTTTTTTGCTCTCTTAACACCAATTTTTTATTGCCCAAATAGATAGAGTAATCAATTCCGAATAAAAAACGCATAAACTTTAATACCCGTAAAATGGACCGTTTCAAAGATATTTTAATTTAAACTGAGGACTGCACAACGCTGAAACCAAAAAGTAGGGATTTTGAATGGATGATATCCTCGGTAACAAATGACCATGGTCTCACTAATCGCTGTCAGGCATCTGTCAACTTTGACATTGGACGATTATTAGACAATTAATCGAAAATATTTAATAAAAGAGTTTACCTCAGATTCCAAACATAACTTAGAATAAATCCAAATGGATTTCGTAGCATTTAATTCATAAAAAATTCACAAAAATTTATCGTCAAAGTTAACAGATGCCTGGCAGGGATTTATGTGACCATGGTCATTGGTTGCCGTGGATATCATTTATTCAAAATCCCTATTTTTTGATTTCAGCGTTGTGCAGTCCTCAGTTTAAATTAAAATATCTTTGAAACGGTCCATTTTAGGGGTAGTAAAGGTTATCCGTTTTTTAATTGAAATTGATTACTCTATCTATTTGGGCAATAAAAAATTAGTGTTAAGAGAGCAAAAAAATGGAAAAACACAGAAAATGTGACCTGCAACTGCTGGAATCGGAAATTGAGTGGATGTATCCGGTTTTCGTGATTACCAGTTCAAAAGGTCTGTTGTCACAAGGAAATGTTCCAAATTTTATAATATTTGGTCAAATTGTTCCAAAGTTATTACAAGAAAATCAAATTTCCATACCCACATTCCGAGGGCTGTAAAATTCTTATCAGTAGAGATAGGACACGAGTTATTATTTAAATTAACATCATTTTATAGGTCATTTTTGAGGTTCAAATATTGCTTCATATTTATGAATAACCCTGTATAGATTTCTCTTTTCTAAAAAGGAAAGTCTATATCTTACTGAAAACAGCACAAATCCAATTTTGGTCTTCGAATTCGTCTTTAATAAAAGATCACTTATAACGTGTGGGTTAACACTGGCGCCTTTTTGTATAAAACTTGGTTTCTCTTTCAAATTTCCTGTTTTTTTTATTATTTTTTTAATGATTATCCTAAAATTTCCAACATTACGAGTTCACTTTTGTTATAACACTGTTTGGACAAATAAATAAAATATAGTTTCTCTCACGAATTTCCTGTTTTTCGGTTCAGACACAACTTCTTTTAATTCTTTATTTATTTTAATGATAGAAAATTGGTTATAATTATGTATCAGAATGTTAAAACTTGATCATGTTGCAGAGTCAGCTGGGCCATGGTGCCGGTTTTCCGTATAGCTCGGCGCCAGGCGGCGGCCGACCCGACTACTCCGTGTCGACCCAGCAGCGCCCCCACGACGACCCCCTGTCGCTCCACCAGGCTTTGGGACAGGCGGTCGAGGAGGCCCAGGGTGGCATCGACGACAACACCGGTTTCATATCCGACTTACCTCTCCTAAAAGGTAAGCCTAACAACACTCGCCAATTGAAATTAAAAAGGGTGTCGCTTGTATTATTACCATGACAGATGCAAACACGCCTCTAAACAAACCCCCGTGGCGCCTCTTTTATTGTAATTCTTTGTTCCAGGTATGAAAGGGGGCAAGGACCACGGCGGAGGCGCGATGGTGTCACCCAGCGACGTCTTTTGTTCGGTTCCGGGGCGGCTGTCCCTCCTCTCCTCAACCTCAAAGTACAAAGTAACAGTAGGTGAAGTACAACGGCGTTTGTCGCCCCCAGAGTGTCTCAACGCGTCGCTACTGGGGGGCGTCTTGCGACGGGCAAAGAGCAAGAACGGGGGGCGCATCCTGCGGGAGAAGTTGGAGAAGATCGGGCTTAATCTCCCAGCAGGAAGGCGGAAAGCCGCCAATGTGACTCTTTTGACGTCACTGGTGGAGGGCGAGGCTATCCACTTGGCGCGCGATTTTGGCTACGTGTGCGAGACGGAATTTCCTGCGAGACAGGTGGCGGAGTACCTGCTGAGGCAGCACGGGGAGACGCCCCGCAGGAAGGAGCTGCTTCAAGCCACCAAACAGATCACCAAGGAACTAATGGATCTCCTCAATCAGGATCGGTCACCGCTGTGCAATACGAGGCCTCAGATCCTCCTCGACCCCTCGATACAACGACACTTGACGCACTTTTCGCTCATTAGCCACGGGTTTGGCAGTCCGGCCATAGTGGCGGCGCTCACCGCCATCCAGAACTTTTTAAGTGAATCGTTGAAACATTTAGATAAAGTGTTTCCCAACCAAAATACACAACAAGGACAGGCCATGTTAGTTACTTCGTCGCTTGACAAAGCCAAATTAGAGGACAAGAAGTGACCATTTAATAAACTTTTATGTGTTGTGATCTGAAGATTACGCTACTAATCTCGTGGATATAGCGTCGTCTACTTTGTTTAAGACTTTGTTATAAGTATTATTGTAATTGTTTTTTATTGTAATTATGCTGATTGATATGAAATATATTTTTTTCAAACAGTGCCAATGCCGACAATGTATTCTATATTACGTATGCAAATTTGGGTAAAGAATAAAACACAACTCCAACCAAAATCTCTCATTCGTAACCCATACGTCCCATTATGATTAAGTTAACAAATCACTTCTTATGGAAGCTAATTTAGCCCAGTCAAATTTGACAAAAATAGGGCAATTGGTGGAAAAAAATTCTAGAGAGTTGGAATTCTTTTTAAACGCTTTCTTTATTCTTGGGTAGACATATATTAAAAGTCCCCGAAGATGAGGGACGATCTCAAGGAGGGAGAGGGGGCTAAAGATGTCTTTTTTTTTGTTTATATCTCGGAAACTATTGCTCCTAAAGTTTTTTGTCTGCTTATCAAAATTAAAGCCTACAAAATTTGCTACAAAAATGGTCCTTTGCATTTTTGTTGTAAGACTAACTGTAAGCGAGTTATGGGGCTGACAAAAAACATCATTTAAAAAAATGTGTTTTATCCGCATTTAAAACAGAATTAATCTTGTGACTTGAAAAAACGGAAAGCAAATTGAATTTATTGGGTGCAACACTTTTAGAGAGACTATAAAGTCTTCTGAGTCGTCCTCATATGCTGCATTTTCGTCTTCAACTTAAATATTGAAAACCGAATTACAGTCTTGTTCAGTACAATATTAATAAATAGATTATTTAATACCGATGATTTGAATAAAGCTTACAGTAAATTGAATGTATTGGATCCAAAAGTTTATTAGAAGGTGCCACGAGGGTCTATCAAGTCTTCCGAGTCTTCCTTATATGCTGAACTAACATTTACCTGTGACTTTGTCCGCGTGTATTTCTGATATAAAATGGGAAAAAGCCCGTTCACAAAACCATTCCATAGGCTCAGATACTCTATAAAGCTAGATAATTACCTATGTTATGTATAATTCCGTTATAGTAGTCTCGTTCTTCGCATGAGCTATGTTTATGGATAAATATTAAATGTTGATTTTCATAAAGTGTCGTCTCAGTGCACTTCTGCACTCTCAAAATTCGAAATTTCATGTTTCTAATTTTGTTTTTAAGCGTTTAAACTCTATTTTATTTCATTAAAATTTGAAAAGTGCACTTCTACACTCTCTAAGGATCATATTTTTCAATTTTTATGTTTTAATATTCCTTTAAATGTGTACACTGTTTCATACCCTTAAAAACTAATTTTAGAAAAATCTGATTTTAGTGCCCCTTTACACATCTAAAGAATTTTATGYTTATATCTTTGTTTAAACATTTACACCCCATTTAACCCCCTTACAGATTGATTCTCTCTTTCATCCAAAATTGTTATTTATATCTCCATTTAAATGTTTACACCCGAGTCACCTTTCAGGCAGACCAGCTTAGCTTACACATATAAATACTAATGAAATGTGTTTCAAAGGATTTTTAATGCAATTTTATGTAGACTCCAAACTTTTGAAGCCTACGGTTAGTGCTACGACAAAAATGAATAGGACCATTTTTGTAGGAAATTTTGATGCAGAAATAGACATCTACAGAAAATTCTGCATAAATTACATAAGCGATGAGTTTGTATTTATAGACCCTCATGACTCCCCCTTCCTTTAATGAAGTATTGGACCCAATAAATTCAATTTACTGTCAGTTTTTTTTTAATTACAAGACTAATTCTGTTTTAAATGGAGATAAAGCACATTTTTTAAAATGATGTTTTTTGTCAGCCCTACAGCAAAAATGCAAACGATCATTTTTGTAGGAAATTTTGTAGGCTTTAATTTTAATAAGCAGGCAAAAACCGTTAGGAGCAATAGTTTCCGAGATATAAGCAAGAAAACAAAAAAAGACACTTTTAACCCCCTCCCCCTCCTCGAGCTCGCCCCCCACTTGCGGGGACTTTTGATATATGTCTACCCAAGTGTAAAAAAAGCGTTTAAAATAAATTCCAACTCTAGGATTTTTTTCCACCGATTTGTCTAATTTGACTGGGCTAATTGTAAACAACTTTAACGGAAGTTTACATTTGACCCAATATTTTTCACTATATCTTCCATTACACTGTGAAGTAATAATAAGTCTTACATGTACCTACGACATGGGTCACCAGCGAGGGTATCACTCGGGCGGAACATAAATTACTTTCATAGAAAATTACAAAAAAATATATTAACAACAACTTATTTACTACTTAGTCTAATTACATGGGTAATTATTAAACTTTATCCTTTTGCAATAGCGTAGAAAACAAGAAGTTGTACATAAAAATGTGTAGGAATTCCAAATAATATTAAAAAAAATAGTTTTCATTGTATTTTGAGTTGCCTAAGCTTAACCTATTCAAATCCAAGATTTATAAAGTAAAAAGGTTGATTGGTACCTTGGAGTGAGAGACACTAAAGAGCGAGTAAGATGGCTATATGATGAAGTCAGTGGAGTTTTGCTCGATTGCAGCCTGCCAGGGTTGCCAGGTCTTAGAATTTTGTCCTAATCTAGGGATTTTTAAAAGGGATTTTTTCAGTTTATTACACAAAATCTAGGGATTTTTTTAGAATTTTGAAACAATTTTTTGGGAGACGCTTTTTGTTTGTTTTTGTGTTCAATTATGAAGATGACTATAATTTTTCGGGAAAGAATTACTGTCTATTTAACACAGGTAAATCCAAAAAAGTTGAGCAAGAAAATACGTAACTCCCGAACTCCTCATTAATGACTTATACGAAAGTAAGTATATCATATATCCACTAACCACGTGATATCTCCAGGTTATAAATATACCTTTGAGCATTTTTACACTCAATTTTCTATATTTCTTTTTGCAATTACGGTTTAAAATACCTAATATGTACAGAAAAATTGTAAAAGTTTTGTGCATTTATGTAAATTGGAGTGTGTTAATAACAAATTTAGCATTTAGTTTGTTCAGAATATACAGGGTCCGTCAGACTCGCGCCCCAGAGAAAAATGCCATATAAGGTAAGATATAATTTTAAATTTAAAAAAAAAATAAATTTCGAAGTTATGAGAGTTTAAATTTTGTCCTTCGACTCTATTTATTTCTGTTGGAAAAATAATTTTCCAACTTTTTTTGCTACAGGCTAGTAGAAGAGGAAACAAGGAAGCTATATCCTAAATTGTAACTCTGTTCAACGTTATTTGTGGTATTTATTAGCAAAATTTTTGTACCTTCAATAAATAATTGTAAAAAAAACATATACAAGATAATCAGTATCATTAAATAGACATAAAAAATATCAAATATCAAAAAATAAATGTCAAAATTTTTTGCCAGATGGAATTTTTTTAATATTTTTTTCATGTTCCTGGTATCTTATCTTACTTGAAAATTTTCTCTGGGGCGCGAGTTCTGGCGCATCCTGTATTTTACATTAATTGAGAAAGTTATGTTTCATTTGTTATATCATTTGTTTAATCAAAAATGTTTAAAGAAACTTTGTTTGAAATTCTTATTTTGTTATGCAATCCAATAAATACCTTAAATTTAAATGGATTTGGCAATGCCTAGGGATTTCTAGGGATTTTTGACAACTAAATCTAGGGATTACAAAAAAATTTCATGTGGCAACACTCATTAGTTATATTGATCGATTTTAAAGTTTTTTCAAATTTTTGTCGAGATTTTGGTCGATTTTTGATACCATTGGAAAGAAAATTTAATTTTCTATTATATACAAAAAAGGTCAGTGTTGTACGACAAATAGTTATCGAGAAAATTTCTGATAAACTAATCAAAGAAAAAATGAATAAAATTATAAATTAAACTATTGCAAGTTTTAACACAATAAATTTATATTTTTTATCAATGTATATATTGTATTTATTTTACCTTTAATAAAAAATATTTTATCAGTATTTATTGTACGGAATTCTAGTTTTTTAACTTTATTTTTGAACGAAACCTCCAGTGACGTCAATTCGCGCTAATAATGCGCACACGTGATTGGTGCAAAGTTACGAGACAACCTTCTTACTTTATAAATCTTGATACAAATCTAATGAAATTCTATTCACGAATTCCGGACTTGTTCTATGATTCCGGACTTCTTAAAAAACAACATAACCTCAACTTATTTTTAAATTATCTTAATTTTTGTCAGTGCTTTTAGAATATGCCTCCTAAGGCTGGAAAAGGGGCTTCGAAAGGGACCGCCAAAGGCTCGAAGGGTGACGACTCGGGTGAAAAATCTAAAGAGAAAAAAGGGGGCACTGCCGTGAAAGTGCGCCACATTCTGTGTGAGAAACAAGGCAAATGTCTTGAAGCCTTAGAAAAATTAAAATCCGGCCAAAAATTCCCCGAAGTGGCTGCTGCATACAGTGAAGACAAGGCGAGACAAGGGGGTGACTTGGGTTGGATGACTAGAGGCTCAATGGTGGGGCCATTTCAAGATGCTGCGTTTGCGCTGCCCATCTCGACTGTAAATAACCCCATTTATACCGATCCTCCTGTTAAAACGAAGTTTGGATATCATATTATTATGGTTGAAGGGAAGAAATGAACTGTTTTAGAGTTAAGTCTTTTTCACTGTTGTAATAAAAGTAAAAAACTTTGTCAAGAAGAAATTACCACCAAGGATTTGAACTTTTGGGAAAATTAGTTTTTTTTATGTTTTTGTATCTAGAATTTCAGAAGTAATTTTGAATGCTTGGTTGGTTACCCCTTCGATATCTTTTGTTTGTCACCAAAAACCAACCTAACCAAATGTATGGAAACCTATTCACGAATATCCCTAAATCCTAGGCAGTAATTTCTTGTTGATACGACAATAAATAAAAATGATGAATTTGAATTGGAGGCAATTACAGTTTCCTGTGTTAACACCTCTTCCGGTATTGACGTTTCTTTGACAAGCAGAGCGCGCTTCGATCACTTGTGAAACGAGAATGGCGTGTTTGGGTTAGGTATATAAGCGGAAAATTCACAATTTCAATTTTAATGACTCGAATAATGAACAAAAATCAAGTTAAATAAACTCAACACAGTGTTTATTATTGTAGAGTTTTAAACATATACAATAACAACAATGGAGGTCGAATATCTAACGAAAGAACAATTGGAAGGTTTTGATAAGTACAAGGTAAGTTATTAACATTATAATTAAACTAAAACAAGAACAATGCATGTTGCACTAAAGCAAATCAATAGGAAACTCTAATTACATTGTGCGATTTTAAACCAAATGTAAAAGGTCATTCATTGAACTTTAGATTTGTAGCGCTTGAAATCATCGTTTTTTTTTCTTAATTCAACTAATTTAATTATAATTATTCGAGTCGATCAATGAAATGTTGTGGTAAAACAGATGCTTGATACTTCAAGATGTTTGGACTTATCAAAGTTAGATTTCCTAACCAATAGTTTATCATTTCTTATCAGTGAACTATTTAGGATGTGGTATCCACCAATTATACATCTTTCAGATTATAGAACTACGTTATAATTTTAAACATATCATTTTTACCAAACCAATTATAAACAAAACAAAATGTAAACACCGGAATTACACCTTATTTATTCCCATTCATATCTTGATATTTTATGGCAAATTACTGGAATTTTTTTATCTTAATTGCTTCAAATCATCACGAGACTCATCCGCCTATGGCAAACAAATTTAACAATAGGACAACTCTTCCATGGAACTTCAGGAAGCACCCTTTGTCAAACATAACATAAAAATTATTTTGTTGAAATTTAGTTGTGGGTGATTCTATTGTCAAAATGGACTTTATCTGATAATAGAAGTGCAAAAATTGGATTGTTATTCAGATTTTTAATTTCAGTCTTAAATTTATGATCATTCTGTCCCCATAAATTTATCAAATAAACACAATTTTTATGGTTTACCACAAATAAATTTTAATTCCAGTACAGTTGCAAAGACACTGGCCCTCTCAGCATTTACGTCATGCACCCCTTCTGGAACTGGTTAGTTCAAGTATGTACCCCCAACCCCTCATTCCCCAGAATAACACAATATTTTCCAGTTTTTCCCCCGTTGGGTGGCCCCAAACTTGATGACTTTCTCAGGATTTATTCTCGCTGTTGTAACATTTTTACTATTCACTTGGAAGGATTACAGTTTTTACGCTTCCGACCCGGACCATCCAGAATACCCAGCGCTCCCCCAATGGACGTTTACAGTGGCAGCTTTATTTTTATTTTTAGCGTACACTTTAGGTAAAAAATGCCCAAATAAAAAACACAAAAATTAATTTGAGTGAATAGATGGCATCGATGGGAAGCAAGCCCGCAGGACCGGCTCCAGTGGCCCCCTGGGAGAATTATTTGATCACGGGTTGGATTCTTTCACAGCCGGATTGATTCCGGTCTCCGCGTATTCTCTTTTCGGTCGCGGTTCCAAATACAGCATCATTCCATTTCGAATGTTTTTCATCTTGTGGAATATTTTATACAATTTTTATTTGTCCCATTGGGAGAAGTACAATACGGGTGTCTTATTCTTGCCTTGGGGCTACGATTTCTCAATGTGCGGAACCATTTTAATGTTTCTAATAGCCGGGGTTTGTATTCCTAAATAATCAAATTCAAATAAAGTGATTTGATTTAAGGTCACGGGACACGAAAGTTGGCAGTTTGTTTTACCTGGGGGAATCACAACAGGCCTCATGTTTGAAATTTTGATATACAACATGGCTCTGGTCACAAATATACCTGTCATACTTTACAATATTTATATATCCTATAAGGACAAAACTGGACATATGAGAACGTTTGGTGAAGCGATGAGGCCTCTAGTTCCTGTCACACTGTTTTTTTTTCTTACTTTAATGTGGGTCATATATTCACCTGGAAATATTATTGAGAGGGATCCCAGAGCAGTTTTTGTTATAATTAGTACGATTTTTTCAAATATTTGCGTAAGGATTTAATTGTAATCGAAATACATTTCAATGTTTGCCTTTTAGTGCCGACTAATCGTGGCTCAGATGAGCAATACAAGATGTGAAATTTTTAATTGGATTTTGGTTCCTACAACTTTTATTATTTTCCTTTGCATCTGGATGAATAGCCCTATGATTGAGCTGTTACTGACGTACATTCTATGTATTTTAAGTACAAGTGCACATATCCATTACGGAACTCATGTTGTAAGTACATGACTGATAAGAAAATTGTGATACTAATATAGAATTTTAGGTGCAGCAAATGTGTAAACACTTCCGAATCAATTGTTTTAGTATACAGAAACCCTCAGATTGACTAGTTACAGACATCGCCTGATTTTGCTGTATTTCAAGCATTTATTTATTTTTAAGAATCCATCTTACATCACAGTCAAAAAAATTGTGTTATTAATTATTAGGTGTCTGGCTTTACCCAAAGACTATTTTCGCTTTTGAATAATTTATATTTATTGTAAATATGACAAGGAAAATACTCAAAACAGAAACATGCCTGTAATTTTACTTTTTAAATAAAATTAACATGTGCCATTGTGATCATTTCAAATTACAACAATCATATCACTAGTACATACTATGAAAAAACTTTGTTAAATGTTTTTCATTTTGAAAAATAAATGTTGCAAAAATTAATTTGCTTTAAACCTGTTAATATATTCCTGTTTGATGTGTTCTCGCTCTGCAACGGGGGGTAAATCGGGAGTTATACCTTTTTTTCTTCGATCCTTTTTTACAAAGTTCTAAAGAGAGAAACTTAGTGTTTTCAAAGATACAAGTCCAAAGTGCATACCCAGAAAGACTTACAAGTTTTGTAATTCTCTATATGTAACTGACAAGCTTCCTTGTCAAAATTATTCTTGTGAAAACACTTGTACGTCTGTTCTTGCTCTTTGAGACAGGGGTTTAGTCTTTCAGCATCGTAATTTCTCATTTTTTTCTGTTATGAAACTTGAAGAGTTAAAAGTAGGGTTATGTCACCGTGTTAGGGAATTTGAAGTTTAACAGTCACAAAAAACGTTATAAATCTATTTATTTATTTTACAATATGTGAAGCAAAAAGACGCCAAAGTGGTCGTCCAATCGTTTACTTTTTTAAAATTTTAGGAGATTTAACATTTAAATTACAACAAGTTTGAGTTTTTGTACCTTGAAATTTATTTAAATTAGTTTAGGGTGTTGTTGGTACGCCTGCGTTTGATGACTAAATTCACCATTACAGTCTGGGTTGCAAGAAATTCTTCCAATGTAAATAAATTGGAATTTCATTAGTTTATTACGTTTTTAAGTTAATTCCTTTCTTTTTTTGTTACATTAATATTTGAATGTGTATTTAGTGATAAGAAAAGTGTTGTAACAAGATTTTTTTCAATGCCCGAAAATGTCCAAAAACAAGATTGATATAAAAAGTGTGCTCAATAACAAAATAGAAGTTAAAAGCAAAGTAAGTACTTTTCCACGTCTTTATTGAACAATTTGTCAATGGATTTTTGATTAAAAATGGACGTTTATCCATATTAGCACTTAATAACGACTTTCTATGCCTGTTAAGGAATGAGAGCATGAATCATTAAATCGCTTTATTATTTAATTGATTCTTTGTAGTTTGATGCCGAGTTTCGTCGATTCTCGGTGCAGAGAGATCCTCAAGCTCGTTTTGAAGAATTTCGGGCTTTATTAGAACGTTTACACCGTTTGCAAGACATCGCATTTTTGGTTTCCTATATTGACCCCAGTGACCAAGATTTGCTACCAATTAACAATGATGATAACCTACGGAGAGCCTTAGCGAATGCAAAACCTCTTCTGAGAGTGATTATCCAAAGAAAAGGTTCACTCATGAAATATTTATTGATCAAATGATAATTATAAATCTTGTAGGTGATAGTCTTGAAGAACTGAACGGATACGGGACTATTAAGCCGCGAAATTTAATATCTAGTATATTAGGGGGCACCCCCGGACGAACAAAAACTTTGGCAATATCGAACCCCCATGATTTTCGCCAAGTATCATCCATAATAGATGTAGATATAGTACCTGAGACTTGCAGACGCGTCAGACTGTTGAAACACGGCTCTGATAAACCACTCGGATTTTATATCAGGGACGGGACAAGTGTGCGAGTCACCCAAAGTGGTGAGTATTTAATAGCCCAGTCAAATTAGACAAATCGGTGGAAAAAAATCCTAGAGTTGGAATTTTTTTAAACGCTTTCCTTACACTTGGGTGTACATACAGGTTGTTCGGTCCAAGTCGCCCCGACTGATAACACCTAAACTTATTTCTTTTTTTCAAAAAGTAAATACAGGGTGAATATAAAGTATGGAACCAAGCAGTTTTATTTTTAATCATTTGCCCCCAGAAAATAATTAATATAAATTAAAGTAATATAAAAAATGTGATCGTATTTTCATAACGAAATTTTATTTTGTTTTTGAGTTATGCGATTTTTTTTGTCAAAATTGCAATTTTTGTGAAAAATTTTTTTTGAAAAAATTAAATATAAAGCAGATAGTTGTAATCCTTAGAGTATAGCTTTTATGAGAAAAATTATTTTATAGTGGGTTGCTATTTAAAAAAATATTTTTTTTTGTAGAACTCATAAACAAAAGGAAATATCGAAAAATTTTATTCTTGTAAATCATCACATTTTTATAGTACTTTATCACCATCAATTAGTTTTTTCAAAAAATAAATAGTTTAAGCAAAAAACGTTTGGTTCCATACTTTTTATTCACCTGGTATGTAAGTAATAATATTCATTCTTGGCTTTCTTAATAAATGTATTAAATTTTTTTAGCATATGTGGTGTTGCCGGAAATGCTACCAAATTTAGTTTTTCAAATAGAACACCTATGTTTTTTTTCCTCCAAACAATAATAATTGACATGAAAAATACTGTAAACCACTATTTATTACATTTTGCGTAACACAATGCAATCAAAAAACATTTTAGATCTTAGAATTTTATAAGGAAATTGGTCGCGTAGCCTGATTTTTAATTTTAATGGAAAGGTGTGAATAAAAAAACTGCTTAGATATAGTTTAATTAATTGTAGGTTTGACAAATCTAATTAGTCAGTTGATGAGCGAGTTCTCTTATGGAAACTCTTGGATTTTCTTCGACTGATAACAGAACATTCAGATTTCTATTTTCTTGTTCTTCAACCACAGGTTTTTTTAGTTTTAAGAAGCGAATCTGTTCGTCTCAGTTGTGTTTCAATTCGACTAAATTTCCAACGATTTGGGTAAACTCTATTTGAGTATTTTTCTCTAAACTGTCTTTCAGCTTCTGCTCTATTTTTATTGCACTTAAAAAACACTTCGAGCTGATCTACCAATTCGTAATTAATATCATCCATTATTAAAGATCTCAATAAGATTTATTGACAAATTAGGCTTTTTCAAAATTACAATTAAACGGTATCCAAGCATATTGCTTTTTTGCATGAATACCTTGACAAGTAAAATCCGCCTACGTTGCAAAATTTGCAATAAAATTTAAAAATTTAAATTGTTTTCTGAGTGCATTACGTAAAGTAAAATGTTATAAATAGTAATTTACCGTATTTTTCATGCCAACTGTTTCGAACAAAAAAACATGGGTGTTCCATTTGAAAAACTAGATTTGGTAGCATTTCCGGCTACACCGGATCTTCTTATCAAAATTAAAGCTTACAAAATTTCCTACAAAAATGGTCCTTTGCATTTTTGTTGTAGGACTAACCGTAAGCGAGTTATAGGACAGAAAAAAAACATCATTTAAAAAAATGTGCTTTATCTGCATTTAAAACAGAATTAGTCTTGTAATTAAAAAAAAAATTGACAATTAAATTGAATTTACTGGATCCAATACTTCATTAAAGAAAGGGGGGAGTCACGAGGGTCTATAAATACAAACTCATCGTTTATGTAATTTATCAATTATCAAAAATTATTTTGAAACATTCGGGAAACTCCTGATGAACCGACTTCTCTAAAACTTCTTCACAGGTATTCTTCCTTCTCAACTTTTTCTTCGATCTGATACAGATTAACAAACCGATAAATGAATTTTAGAGCTTGAAAACACTAGTTTTAGTAATGCACTAGCATTATCCTTATGAAACAAAGAAGCAAGTGAGAGTGAGAGACCAGAAAAACATGAAGAAGTACGCAAGTTTCTTTATTTACTATAATGCAAAATTAACAGAAAAATGTACTTTTTAGAAAGTGAGTCACGTTATGTTGAAATTAGTTGATATTATTGACAAACCACATGATTCCCCAGAAGACCAGCCCACAAATTCACCAAAAAGCGTTGCTGAAATGCCCTCGGAATTAAAACATTAGCAAAAATGCTAATTTTTCGTACTAAATACAAACATCGCAACATTCTTCTAGATTTTTTAATGAAAAAGCAGCTAAGGGGTTATAGTAAGCTCATGTGAGTGGAA